ATGAAGCACCTTCTCTTTCAGACCGCTCCGGGGTGCTGAGTTCCTGAAGGACTCGTTGAAAAACAGAAAGCTCTTTCCTATGGACTTGGCAGGACGACTTGTTTGAATATAAAAATCCTTGGTTCACACTTTTTTTTTTTTTAAAGATTTTATTTATTTATTTATTTGACAGATAGAGATCCCAAGTAGGCAGAGAGGCAGGCAGAGAGAGAGGAGGAAGCAGGCTCCCCGCTGAGCAGAGAGCCCGATGTGGGGCTCGATCCCAGGACCCTGGGATCATGACCTGAGCCATAGGCAGAGGCTTAACCCACTGAGCCACCCAGGCGCCCCAATAAATAAAATCTTTTTTAAAAAGTTATTTGATCTTTCTTCCTGAAGATCTTGAGGTGTTTTTTTGTTTTTTTGTTTTTGTGTTTTTTTTTTTCTTTTTTTTGAGAGACAGAGAGTGAGCATGGGAGCAGTGGGGTAGGGGGCAAGGGGAAAAGGGGAGAAGAGAAAGAAACTATTAAGCAGAGCCCCACCTCACTGAGATCCCGACCTGAGCTGAAATCAAGAGTTGGAAGCTTAACCAACTGAGCCACCCAGGCGCCCCTTGAGAATTCTTTTTAAAAAATATTTTGAAATCTAATAATTTTATAAGGATGTGTCTCAACGTTGATTAATCTGGGTTAGTTTTCCAAAGTTTCCAGAGGGCCCTTCCAAGGTGCAGATTTTTTTGCTCTTGGAAAGTTTTCTTATAATGTTAAATATCGGTTCTGGTTCATTGGTTTTTCTTCTAAGACTCCAATAACACAAACGGGATTCCTTCTTTGACAATGTTCTGCCATAATTTTGTTCGGACTTCTACTTTTTAATCTCATTTTCTTGGTCGTTTTCCTGTCTTTTATTATACATTTATTTGAGTCCATTCTCCCTCGGGCATCTTATAATGTAATCTGTATTTCTGGATAATTTTGTCTGTTTCTTCCCTTTCTCTCCTGAGTTCAATTAACCTTCTATATTCTTCTCCTGGGTTTTATCTATTTCCATTCTTTTCAAAATTTCTCATTCTGGGGAATTTTGCATATCTTCAAATGCTTGTTGTGTGTACACGTAGTTCTGTTTAGAGTGCTGTGTTTAGTTTTCTCATGTTTTGTGGCTGTTTATTCAGGAGGCTGTGTAAATTTTCCTTCATTGACATGCCATGAAATCCATTTTTTGATATTTTGCCATGACTCCATATGAACCTGTTAATCTTTCTTTGCTCGTTTCTGTGGTGTTGGGTGTTTTATTCCAAGTTCAATGCTCCCTCTTCTGCCAACTTGGAGAGTCCAGATGCTTTCCCGGATTTGTTTGTTTGGAGAGTGGGGAAGGAGTTTTGGGTCCTTTGATTTTCTTCTTTTGTCTTGCAGAGCCATGAAATTTCTCCATTTGCTTCCCCTTTGACAGCCAAATGCCAAAAGGTACTTCTCCCTTCCTTTCTGCTCTTCGCTTTCCCTGAATCTGTGTGTTTCAAAGACTGCCCACTCAAATCGCGGGGTACTTTGAAATCCCTCCCTTGTAGTCAAAGCTCTGACCTGCTCTAGACATGTCTTCACATTTTCCGACTTCAGGTGGACTCAGTCTTTCTGGGAGGTCTTCCATCCGGCGTTGGCCATTACTAGCTCCCCTTTTCTCTTCTAGTTTCTTGCCGCCAGTCTGCCCAGAGCCCGTGCAGGGTGGGGTTGGGACGGGGACATGGGTGATGTTTTGCTGTCACTTGTTTTTTGTTTGTTTTTATTTACAGGTACTTTTTAAAGTTTGAGCATTTTATCTTCAAGTTATACTAAGGGTTACTTGGTTTTGTGTAATTATATCTTTCTCTTTTCTTTATTCCAGGTTATTTGGTTGGGGGCAGGGAGATGGGCACCTGCATTACCACCATTATCTTTAGCAATCTGGAAGCCTCTCTCAAATATTTGTTTCTCATTCCTCCAGCTTTGGGCCTTGCTAGTTCAGAGTCCTTAGTACTCAAGCCTGAATGCTAATGGACCCAGCACTAGTTCTTTTGAACTGGAAGGGAAGACCCCTCCCTTGTCATTTTGCCCTCTTCGTGCCTTGGAACGAACAGCTCTGAAAGGTTGATTGGTCCTGATGATCAAGGAAGAAATCATTGCGGCCACATGATGGAGAAGGCGAGTCCCCAGGACTCAAGGAACGAAAGACCTTCGACACAGGCAGGCTTACAAAGGACTCAAACCTCTCAGGGATGAAGGTCACCTTACTAGGTAAAGAGTCTTGAAGGTTAAAAAAAAAAAAAAAAAGAAAAATACATGTATATACAATGGACTGTAGAAGAAATAAGATATAAATACCAATCTGGGGTTGAGAGATAAAATACAAGATGCCTGATTATATCTGAATTTCAGAGAAACAATTTTTGGGGGGGTAAAAATATGTTCTAATGTTTGGGACCTATTGATACTAAGAAATCATTTGTCATTTCTTTGAAGTTAACGGGGCACCCTGTACAATATTCTCATTTGCAAAAGTTGGAGGCCCCCATTATGGCCTTGCAACTCATTACACAATACTTTCTTCCTTGCAAGTAAAATATAGCTTGACCAATATCCCTCCTATGTCTTTCCTCTTGTGTCATAGAAGGTGTGTGTTATTAATGATTGCCGTCTTAATCCAGTGCCTTCGTTACAGTATACCGAGACGGGATTGTGACTCAACTCTCGAACACCTCCATATCCATGAACATTTCCACAGCGGCCAGGCCAGGGCAGGAGAGGGCCAGGAAGCCGAGTGGTTAGCAGTGAACATTTTGCCCCAGAATGGACACTCTGTGTTTCAGTAGCCCGAGCAGATCTCATGGCTGGGCCCAACCTCAGGCGGGTAGGGAAGGCTATGAACCTACAGGAAGTGGAGAACCAGCAACCGGCGAACATCACTAATGTCCAGATGGGTGGACAGCGGCTGCTGGAAATTGGGGTTTTCCCTTTGGGGAAGAAATCTTGGTTGTAGGAAGGGTTGTCGTGGGAGCAGGCTGGTGTTGCTATGACCTTCGAGAAGTTGAAGTGTGAGCTGGGGTATGTGGATGGGCATGTGCAAAGGGGTGGACGGCGGTGGATGGCGTGGGCTGGTTCACTCATGTCCATCCCTACCTCCCTAGGCATACTGAGAGCAGGCAGAGACACCTTTTAGTCAAGCCAAGCCCGTGCATGCCTTATGATTCAACAATTCTTCTCCTAGGAGTGTGTATCTCATGGAAACTGTCACATAGACACAAGGAGGGGACATATATGACACCCACCGTGACAGATTGTGTGGCAGGGGTCGGGGAGTTGGGGGCCTTTGGGGCCCAGCACTGGAGAATTGGGCAGATGCATAGATGGCTAGACAGATGGAAGAAAGGGTGGCTGGTGAGTCCTTACACAGGCCAGTGATCTCCATCTTTGGCTAAGGATTAACCCTACATCCTGCAGCTGAGGGCAAAAAGAGAACAGGCAGATTTTCCGGACTCCCCCGTGCTGGAGGTCTGTGGGAGACATACGGCCCACTCACGGGAAACCCTCTGAAGGACGTGGATGGAGGAAACCAGGCCAAGGCCGTTGGGCAGCTTCAGGGGCTCAGCCTTTCTATTGGGTGCCAGACGCAGGTTTCGTGGGGGTCAGGAGGCCCTGCTGGAAGGCCCATCCACCTGCTGACGTCCGGGCCCACCCCTGGTGCTGAGAGAAATCAGACTCCAGCCGGGGCAGTGGGCTCTGGAACTCGGCGGTGCCAGGGCTGGCTCCCAGAGGACCCTCCTTGAGCCTTCCCAGCCACCTTGGAAATAGTTGGTTATCCGCAATCCCTTTCTGCTGCAAACAGCTGGACAAGCTTGTGTCCTGGAACCAGCCCCTTCCCGATCAGCTGTGGCTGGCTCAGCTCCCACAACTGACTACTGTGCCTCAAACTTGGGACAGACCTCCTGATCTGACCTGGAAGAGCCCCGCTTGTCCCAAGCCCTGCTCTCCCTTCTGGTCCTGCCACAATCCAGAGGGCGGGACTGGCCCCCAGGAACCTGGGGGCTGGGAGCCCGAGAGGCAGGGACCACGGAAGTTAGGCCCCAAGCTCCTGGTCCTTCTGGGGTCCAGCACTTCCTACTGTCGCTCCCGCAGCCTCCTGAGGGCTGGCCCAGGCCTCTGTGGCCCTCCCACCCGTGCAGCTCTCGCTTCTGACGGTGCGGTTATGGAAACCTGCTCCGAGGTGACAAAACACGATTACTAACCAGCTGGGTGACCACAGGAAAATCATTTAACCCCTCTGGCCTACAAATTTCCTCATCTGTGGGGCCCTGCTGAGCTGTTGCAAGCACGGCAGGAGGCATGGTCTGTGGAAAATACCAGCGCGGTGCCTGGTTAGCAGAGCGGCTTCACAATACGTTTGAAGCCGAGATATCTCACATTATTTGGAAAAAGGCCAAGGGGAACGAGCTTGTCTAACCTAGAAGATTCTTAGGTCCTCAGGTGGGGTTGGGGTGAGGAAAAGTCAGCTTCGTTGTAGCCCACACCTTGGAGCCTCTCTCTCTCGGCTCCCGAACTATACTGACCAGCCCTTCCTAGAGCTGGTTCCAGTCAACGCAGCATGGGGACCCCCTCCAACCCTGGGAGGGGCCACCGGACCACTGCAGCCTCCTTTGTTTCTGGCCTTTGGTCAGACATCCTAGCTAGGCTGAGCTCTCCGGGGCAGGGACCGCGCAAAGCTTGGAGGAGGCCCAAGGCCGGCTCCACATTCCTAAGTTACTGCATGGCTTCCGCGCAGGGCCTGACCCTCTTTGGGAAGCAGAGATAGGGATGCCTTTTCTCCCATTTGTGGGGCAGGGCAGCGGCTCCTCCTCTGAAGGTTTTCCTGGAGCCTCTCCTCCCCCAACCCCCCTGTGCATGCCCCCAGCCAGGGCTCAAAAGGAAACACACCCGTGAAGGTCATTAGTGAATATGTTTTTTTTTCCTTTTCTCGCCCCCCCCCCTTTTTTTGCTTTTTAAGAAACGAGCCGCAGGACTGTGTTCTGGCCCTCAGGGCCCCTCCTGAGCAAGACCGTCTCAGGGTCTGGCCTAGCCTCCGGGTTCAGCCAGCGGCTGAGAGCCCACGGAGGTAATCCCCGGCCAGAGGCAGCACAGCCCAGTCGTCCGTGCGCAGGGCCACAGGCACTCCGTCCGCCTGGGCCGCCTCCAGTCGCAGCAGCAGCCTCGAGTCTGGGGGCAGGCGGATGGCTACATGGTAGCTGGTGGGAGGCTGGGCCACCACCACAAAGGGCTCCAGGTGGCGGGACACCAAGGCCTCCAGCCCCTGCGGCCCAAGAGAGCACCAGAGGCGACTCTCGGCTCCCTTTGGCAGGCAGGAGTCCCAGAGCTCCTCAAAGAAGCCCTGCTTGTCCCCGTCCTCGGGGACCTGGGGGAAAGGCAGGAAAAGGTCCTCGAAGTTCACGGGCACGGGCGGCAGGTGGGCGTGGCACGTGAGGCCGGCGGGGGTGGCGTACAGGGCGCGCACGCCCAGCTGCGTGGGAGCTGGGAGCCGGGGCTGCAGCGGCAGGAGCAGAGGGCGGCAGGGGCGGCCCGGGCGCAGGCAGGGCACGTGGACCGCGTCCAGCGGCGCGTACAGCTGGCCTTGCACGCGGAAGCGCAGCTCGAGAGAGAACACGGGCTCCAGCACCTCCACCTGGAGCTGCAGCACCGGGCCCGGGCCCGCTGCTCTGCGGGGCCCCACACGCAGCCGAATTGGGGCCGGGGCCTCCTGCACCATCAGCACGGCGGCAAAGCCCTGGTTCTCGGCCACCAGCGAGGACGTCAGTGCGGGTGCGGCCAGAGAGGGGCCCAGGGCCACCCCTAGCTTGGGCCCCGCCAGGTGGGCCAGGAGGATGTAGTAGAGCCGGGCATGGTCCCGTCCATCAGGGTCCTCCAGCCGCCTGGCCAATGCCTGCAGCAAGTCGGCCAGGCCTTCTCCGACGCCCACCCGCATCGAGGTCCGGCAGACCCGCAGCAGAGCCTGCTGGAGGCCCCAGTCTGTGCAGTGGGCCGCCGCAGCTCGCAGGAAGCCTAGGGTGGCACTTGGAGCATTCCCATCGGCCACTTTCGCCAGTATCTTCAGGTGCCAACGAAGGGCCTCGTCTCTGCCGGGTCTGGACACCACCTCCTGCCGCAGCACCACTCTCAGGGGCTCTCCCAGCTCAGGGCCCACCTTATCCAAGAGATCCACAAAATGGGGAGCCAGTGCAGGCCGGGCTCGGTATAGCTCGGCCAGCCCGTGGGTCAAGGGCGTCAGCACCAGAGGTTGCGTGGCTAGGCAGCGAACGACCAGGTAGGAGGCCTGGAAGCAGAGAGCAGCCAAGGCCTGGGGGCCCCCATCCAAGGCTGCCCTCTGGCGCAGGCCAGCCAGCAGCTCCCCTAGGTAATGCTGGGGGCTCCAGTCCTGGCCTTTCTCCTCCTTTTCTTCATCTTCGGCACAGAGCAGGCACAGCAGGTGCAGGCGGGCCAGGAGAGCCATCGGGTCATGGAGGAGACTGGGCAGGAGGCCACGGCCCAGCCGGGGCCCCAGCAGCAGGGGGGCGGCCTCCTCCCCGGCAGGGCCTAGAGGGCAGTTCTCAGGGAAGCTCAGCAGGCAATGCAGATAAAAGAGGTGGGCGGGTAGGGGCAGGGCGGGGTGCTGGGCCGCCAAGGTGAGCCTGCGGAGCAGCAAGGCCTCATCCTGGGCTGTGAACAGGGCTTCGCCAAAGGCCGCCTTGAGTGCCAGCACGGCATGCAGGAGCGCCAGCTGGGCCGTGCCCAGCAGCCGTACCAACTGTGGCTTGAAGAGCACTGGCGGCTGTCCCCGGAGACCCCGCAGAGCCCAGCCCAGCAGCCACAGAAGCTGGGCCTGAGCCACAGGAGTGAGTAGGTAGGAGGAGTCCAGAAGCTGGGCCACAGCAGCCCGCAGCTCCCGGGCCTCCTCAGGACTGGGCTCCAGCACTGCAAGGCCACACTCCTCGTCCGCGGCCGCCGGCCAGCTGGGTGCCTGGGGCTGCTCGTGGGCATCCCCCTCCTCAGCTAGTGCCCAGTTCCAGGGACCACCTGTGGTGGGCGCATCTCCAGCCACAAGCAGGCCCTGCAGGCCGGCCTTGGCCTTGGCCCGTATCACCAAGGCGTTGCGCAGAGCGACTGCCAGCAGCAGGCTGAGCGGCTGGACCGGGCCTTCCCGCCCCAGCAGGCGCCGAAGCAGCCCCAGGCAGCCCCCCAGCAGCCCAGGCTTGCAGCTCTCCAGCTCCCGCAGGCACTCACACGCCGTGGCCTGCAGGGGGCGCAGCTCTGAGGCGGGGCCAAAGCCTCGCCCCAGATCGCGGCCCGAAGCCAAGCCAAGAAGTAGTGGCAGGAGCCGGCGGGAGGCTCCCGAGGTGGGGCCCAGCGCGTCTCCAGCCGCCAGGGCTGTGGTGGCCGCCAGCAGCAGGGGCCGCCGCAGGGCTGAGGGCCGTGGGGGCAGAAGGACCAGGGTGTCCAACAACGAGGTGGCGGCTGCCTCGGCTGCAGCGGCGTCCGGCCACAGCTGGGCTGGGTACTCCAGGCTCAGAGCCAGCAAGGAAACCTGGGGATGGGAGATTTAGGTGGGAATCACGAAAATGTGGTTCGAGCGCGGGGGCCTGAGGTGACCAGATGGCCCAGGGCGGGGGGATGCACGCAGGGCCTACCTTGGTCTGTTCGCTCAGCTTCTCACTTCTCAGTTCGCTCAACAGGTCACGACCCAGATCCTCACCCTCGGGACCGGCCATGAAGGCGGACGGGCTGGCCCGGAAGGCGCCCAGGCGCTGGGCCCAGGTTTCCCGGCTCAGGGGTCCCATGGTGCCGCACCCAGGTCCCTGCAAAGAAGTGAAGGAAGGTCAGGCCCGCGGCCGCCAGAGGGCGCCCGAGCACCTGCACGCACCCAGAAGGGGCCGCCGTCACCCCAGGGCCACCTCGCAAACCCGAGCCGCCCCCTGCCACGCGCAGACGCCAGCGGGGGACCCCGCGCCCTGACCCCGAGATGAAACCGAGAGGTTTCGGGGGCGACGCCGGAGCGGGCAACCAAGGGTCCCCGCGGGGCAGGACCGCCGGCGCCCGGTGCGTGCCGAGAGCTCATTACGCCGCCCGCCCGCTGCCCGCACCGAAACCACAGCGCCGCCCCGGCCCCCGGCGCCGGCGGTAACGGGCCGGCCGATCTCACCGCGCCTGACTCAGCCGCCGCGGGCGCCCGGGCCGGCCGGCTCCTTCCGGGCGGCGGCGCGCGGCGGGGCGGGGCGCGCGGCGCGTGGGCGGCGGGGGCGGGGCCGTAACGGGGCCGCCGCCTCCCCTCCCGCCCCGCCAGCAGGTGCCGACTCGCCGGTTTCGCTGGGGCTGAGTAACTGTCCCGCTGCGCGCGGGGCCCCCCTTCCCCGAAACCGCCTCAGGCCCGGGCAGAGGCGGTGGAGCTGTGTGGGCCCGGGCTCCCGGATGCCTGGGTTCCTTCCGGGCGGGGGCTGCGATTCCAGGGCCTTCTGACAGCCCGGGCCCGCCGCGCCCGCGATGATGGCCACCAGCACGTCCCCCTTTCCCCACCTGCCGGCGTCCGGGCGCTCCGCACCCTGCGGAGGGCGTGGGTTGCGGGTCTCTGGGCTCCCAGGGTGTCCGCTGGGGGGTGTGCAAGGTGCGGTCCCAGAGCGCCCGCAGGAAGTGCTCCTCGCAGCCCCGGCCGAACCGGTCGGGCGGGCGCCTCCGGGCTTGGCTTCGCTTCTCCGACGCCGGCCCCGTCCACCCCCCACCCCCACCCCCCGGCTGGGCTTGGGGGCGCGGAGCCGGCGCCGGGGTCACCGCGGGCAGAAGCTGCTGACCTTTGCCTTAGGCCATACCAAGAGCTGACAGTCGGCAAGGGCTGCGGCAGCCTAGCCAGGGTAAAGCTGGCAGGGCAAGGCCATAATCCTGGAGGAAGCCGGAAAACAACGGGATGCCGACGTGCAGAGTGGCAGGGGCGGGTGGATCACAGGGCTCGCGGCAGGCCTGGCACGGACCTGGAAACGGAGACTTCGCCACTAAAGACCTCGGGCCAAGCGGTGCACCAATCCAGCACTCTTGGAATTCCAGAGGGCAGGATCTGAGCTGTTTGGCCACACTCGGGGGTCGCCTGTAGCTCACAGAGCAGTGTCTCCTGGGCCCGGGACCGCACGGGCGGATGCCCCATTGACCGCTGGCTTCTGTGGCCCAGAACTGCGGGCATCCAGGCCCCACAGGCTACAGTAAAGCCTTTAGCTCTAATTAGCCAGCTTTGAAGATGAAACAGACCTGAGCCCCCATGTTATGGCTGCTGCCAACTCGTTTCTCTCCTTTCTCCAGGCTCCACGGGCCCTCCCCACCCTGTCCTGCTGTCCACCAGATGGGAGGTGGTAGGGAGTGGTGGGGTAGAGAGCGCTGGAAAAGAGGCTCTCTGGGTGCCGGTGGTGCCAGGGATGCCAGGGGGATGGAGACAGGGATCCACCCCGAGGGACAGGTCCAGCTGGAAAGCCCAGTCCCAACTCTGGCCCTGGCTCCATGGTTGACTCACAGGCGGCAGCCCCAAACCACTTCCCTCTAGGTGCCTCAGTTTCCCCATCTGTAAAATGGGAGTGCTGACTCCCGCCCAAGAGACTGTGGGGTGGGGCAGCCCGGCTAATTAAACCTAAGATGAAAGAGGCCAGGATGAGAGCAGCCCTGGGAGGGAAGGCAGCTTGGGGGTAACAAGGAGCCTGTCTGGTTTCCCTGTCTGAGGCCCAGAGGGTGCTGATAACCAGAGGCCCCTAGCCCTCACCACTCACAGGGAGGGAGGAATGATTATTAAACCTCTTTTTACAGTTGGGGAAACAGGCTTCAAAGGGTCAGGAAGTCTGCCACTGGCTTTGGCCCGCATTTAGCCTCTGACCTTCAGCAGCGTTTCTGAGCTTTGGCTCCTTGGGGCCAGGGGTCTGGAGGGAGGGAACCTGTGTGTGTTTCCTGATGTGGTGGGTGCATCCACACGGACTCCCAGGCTTACAGCCACCCTGGGGTACCCGGGGATGGCTACCATGCATAGATGAGGAAACGAAGGCCCGGAGAAGTGCAGTCACTTGCCCCAAGTCATAGAACCCCTAAGAGGTAGAGGCTGGACCTCAGCAACAGCCCTGTACCGCCCCTGACACCCTCCTTCCACATCAGCTACCCTCAGCCCTCGGAGGGTGTCCAGGTCCTGGGATGGGCTTTCCCCTTGCTTGCCTGCCCAGATGTCCCTGCCCTGTTCCCCTCTAGGACAGTGGCACTGGTCTGTCCCTGGCACAGGCCAGGCAGAGAGTTAAGCTCATCCCATCAGCACTGAGCGCACGATCATTCCCAGAGTCTGCAGTCAGCGGGCCTGCTGGGGAAAGCGACCCCCCAGCCAAGAGGGCCCAGGTGTGGGCCGCAGCCAGGTAGCGGAGCAGGGAACTCCCCCACTTGAAGTTCACACCTCATTCCTTCTCTTTCTGCTGAGTTTCCAGCCTCCAGGGTGTAGCCCAGCTCCTGGGAGATAGACACAGGCTTGGAAAAGGGAAAGTCAGTTTTCTGAGGGGTCCTGAGCCTCAGTTTTCTCATCTGTAAAATGGGGACATGGCCAACCCCTCTTCTCAGCACTGGGTGCTCCCTGGGGATACAGGGATGTCTTAAAAAGAACACCTCAATAGGCAAATCCATGGAGAGCAGAGTAATGGATGCCAGGAGCTTGGGGAAGAGAGAAATGGGGAGTGACTGCTAATGTGTACAGTGTTTCTTCTGGGGTGATGAGAATGTTCTGGAAGACCGTGGTGATGGCTGCACAACTCTGTGAAGATACCAAATCCCCTGAAGTGTATACTTTGAAAAGGTGGATTTTATGGTCTATGAATTATATCTAAATAAAGCTACTAAAATGGTGTTAAAAGAAAAGCGGCCCCTTGTATACAGAATTTACGATGCGGGAGGGGACAACAAACAAACAGGACAAATAAAAATTTCACAAAGTAGAAGATGCTGCCAGGAAAACAGGACGGGGTAATGGGTGAGGCGGTGGGGGTGGGGACACTTGGCTGAAACCTGAATGACAAGAGGTAAGCAGTCATCAAGTGGAGAAAAGCCTTCTGGGAGGAGGGCACAGCGGAGGAGAGGCCGGCACAGGACCAGGCTCTGGCCCGCTGGGAGGATGGCGGGCACCCAACGTGCTGGCGTGCGCAGAACCAGCAGGAATGGAGAGGCCAGTGGTTGGGAGGTCGGGAGGGACCAGAGTGCATCAAGCCCCCAAGATGTTATTCCAGCTGCCATGGGAGCCACAGGAGGGCTTGGGCTGGGGGGAGACAGCTGGCTGGGGGTGGGGGAAGAGGCTTTCTGTGGCCTTGGCCCAGGGTGGCAGCTGTGGATGGAGGTATGGGCATATGCAGCTGATTTGGGAACCCCTGGGACTCAGCGGCGGGTAGATGTTAGGGTGACGGAAGAGGGGGGGCAGATGACCCTAGGCTTTGGCCCTGAGTACTTGGTTCCAGTCTCCGTGGTGGGGAAGGCCATGGGAACTGAGGAGGGAATCAAGTCTGGCAGGCCAGATGTGCAGCCACCGTGGAGAGCCTCACCTGGGTCCTTGGCCTCCTCCAGCAGGATCTTTTGGCTTCTCCCTGCACAGCTCCAGAGGCTCCAGATGGCCCAGAAATGCTCCTCCTCTGGCTACTGCCCCCTGCACCCCCCAGCTCCGGCCGAGGGAGCCTTTTGCCCACCTGGACATCGGGACAGTCGGGAGGCCCACAGGCAGGAACTCTGCAGAGGTGAAGGGGTCAGTGTCCTGACAGCACTCATGGTTGCTCAGGGGCCTGGCTGCCTCCCCGAGGCTATTGTTACCTGGCGCTGGAAAGGCCACTGTGTGAGCCACACAGAGGCCTTGGTGGCCGTGGAACCATCAGCCTGCTTGATGAGTCTATTTCCAAAGGCTGCTGGACTTCAGGCAAAAGCAAATCAACATCTCTTGACCTCTCTGAGGAACAGAGCTGAACTAGGAGCCCCACTTTACAGATGTGTAAACTGAGGTCCTGACAGGTTAGGTGGCTTGCCTCGAGTCCCCAGAGACTAAAAGTCTGGGGCACCCCAACTCCAGGCCCTTGCCTGCTTGTCCTTGCAGCACATCTCATCTCCTGGGAGCCCTTCTGCCTTCAGCCTCCCTACTTCCCAGCCCCTGCCTGCCCTGCCTCTACCCCCTCCCGGCTCCCCTGCTAAGCCTTGTCTGGGAACAGGAAGGGGTAGTTCAAGACCTTCTCCATCTAACTCCTGCCCCAGATCTTTCTAGGCTTCTCAGGCTGGGAGCCCGGCATTCAAGCCGGGAGCCAGCCACGACTTTCCAGGGATCACGGTCCTGGCTTGTTTGCTGGAGTTCTGCCTTCCTTCACTCCCCTGTCCCAACACTATGCCAACAAGAGAGGTCCACTCAGAACACCTAGAATCAGAGCTCATGGCTCCCTCTGCAGATCGCCAAGGCCACCATCACACCCCTGCTCCGATAGTAGCATCCTTACCAATCTCTCTAGTACTCCGTTATACCACAGCCTCCCACCATACGGAGCCTCACGTGACATGGTACAGCCGCCTCTTCGACCTCAGTTCCCACACCTGCCATCCCCTCCCAATACCACCTCGTCTTTTGGTTCATCTCATGGCACTAGGCTCACTCCCACTCTGGGGCCCCAGGTGTTCCTTCTGGGGATCTGTTTCTCCTACCTGCTCACCCAGCCGGCCCCTACCTCTTGTTGAGATCTCAACACCCCCACCTGTGACTATCCCATCACCGAAGTCATGCATTGCACTAAAACTTTCCTTCTTTCTCTGTCTGCCTGGATCACAGAATCATCAGTGCCAAGAAATGGTGGGTGTTCCATATTTGTTGACTGAACGAAGGAGTGAGTGAATGACATCTGACACTGTGGGCAGAACAGAAGGAGCCTGCCCTCATGGAGGTCACAGGTTAGCTCGGCGCTTCTCCAAGTTCACGCACATTGTCTCATTCTAGGGAGGCTCAGGAACCACAGACTACACACCAGCAGCCTATGGGGCAAATCTGACTTGCAATGGTATTTTCTTTGATGTTTTCCATGGGTTTTTTTTTTTTGAGGGGAGACTGGGTGGTTCAGTCATTAAGGGTCTGCCTTTGGCTTGAGTCGTGATCCCAGGATTCTGGAATCGAGCCCTGCATCGGGCTCCCTGCTCTGCCGGAGCTCTGCTTCTCCCTCTCCCACTCCCCCTGCTTGTCTCTTGCTGTCTCTCACTCAGTCAAATAAATAAATAAGATCTTAAAAACATTTTTTTGAGCCAACTTTTAAAAATTGGTTGATTTTACATATAAACCTGGATTTTTGGCTTCTTTTCGAAAATGGACAGATGTGGCCACACTGGGTTTCTTTGTTCAAATGACATGATTATTACTGCCCTTTTAGACAGCCACATTCTGCACCGTCCCTACCGCTCTCTCCATCTCTCTCTCCCTCCCTGACAGCCTGCGTCAGTTGCCTTCAGTCACTGAACCTGCCCTATTGCTTTCCTTCTAATAAATTTGCTTTGTATCCATTGCCCCTACCAAAAGTTGGAATGTGAAAAGCTGAATGGGTCACATGAGTCAAGAAAAAGAGATATTCTTTCATGCAACAAGTATTTATCAATAACCCACTCTGTGCCAGGTACAACGGTAGATACTGGATACCAGAGATATAGCAGCAGATAGCGTGGGTGACTATCCCTCCTGACACTGTGTGACATTCTTTCCACAAGTGGAGACATTTGAGTTGTTCCTTACCAACCTCCTCCCCCCAACAAGAAAGACTGCGCTTCTTGTGTCCAAGGTCATCTGTGCAGACTTAGTTTCCACTAAGCACCTACTGTGTAACAAGCCCCGGGCAGGGTCTGGCACAGCCGAAACGCTCAATAAATATTTGTTGACTTAATTAACTAAATCTACTTCCTAGACACACTGTGTTGGAAAATGTTTCTCCAGGATTTATTCAAAAGGTAAGGTGCTCACTTCACGCCAGTTGAACCAAAGGGTGCAGGTAAGAAGGGAGGGGTGACAAAGTATGTTTGGGGTGCGTGAAGGCAGAGCCCTGGGAGAGGAAGGGGCAAAGAGCAGCACCCGCTACCAGAGCCCACAGTGACCCCAGGAGGTAGGTGACAGGATTCCCAGGTGATAGACTAGGAAACAGGCTGGAAAGGAAAGGCCTTTGGCCAAAGTCACAAGCCCCAGGAGGGAGCGAAGGAGGAAGCCACCTGTTCCTGAAGTGCACACTCTCCCAGCCCACCTTCAGGGGCTCCTGGACCACCTATGGGGGGGGGATGTAAAGGGCCTGCCCCAAAGTCGGTAGCCAGGCTTCTGCTCCCCTTTGACTCCTGACTTTTGGAATTGTGCGAATTCATTTATCAGACTCATTTCCTCTTAATCTGTTCCAGCAAATATTTAACACATGGAAAAGGTGTATGTGTGGTAGAGATCCTGAAATGTTTATTTTATATGGGGGTAGACGGAGAGCTAAAAAGGGGAAGGGGTCCCATTCCTGACCCCAGGAGGCCAGCCGGTAAGAGAAGCCCAAAGTGTCACAGTAACTTGGAAAGCAACAAGCACTCCGAGGGTGGGCCTCCCTCCAGCTAAACCTGGGGGCTGGACAGAGTTTGTTGAACAGTTGGGGGTGGGGGGTGAAGGGGAGGGTGTGTGTTCCCAGGCTGACCCTCAGCCAAGGGTGGGCTGTTGCCAGAAGCAGACAAGAGCCCTCTGCCTTGCAGGGGCCGAAACCAGGCAAAGTAGGTTGGGCACCTGAAATCTGGCCCTTTGGGACCAGGATGAGGGTGTTTGCGGGAGGGTAAGCCCCAGTGACGAAGGCGCTAGGGTCTTACGGATCTCAGTGGACTCGGAGAGGTTTAAACGCCCCTTCCTCCACGAAGCCCTCCTCCCTTCCCTGGCCAGAAAGCGGGCTGGGGCGGGGACCGGCGATCAGCTCTCCGCGGGCACTCTCCGCTGTACAGTGTGTACAGTTTGTACAGTGGCCGCGTCGTCCCCGCGGGCCCGCCCACCAGCCTACGCGCTCCTGGAGCCTCGCGTGTCTGCCCGCACGGAGCCGGAGCCGGGCAAATACCACTTGGCTGAACCACGAATTGCTCAGCCGGGCCTTCGGGATCCGGGCCGCCTGGGTCCAGGCCCGGTTCAACAAGTGTGGGCGGAACCGCCCGTTCCCGCCCGACGGCTTCGCGGCTCCCCGGGCGCCCCCGGCGCGCCGAGCCTGGCCGGGCCCCGTTGGGCGAGTTTCATTTCATCCCCCGCAGAGCGTGCGAGCGCGGGTGCACATAACGTTGCCCCCTCCCCTCCTCGGCTCCCCCCGAAACTCCGAAGCTTCTGTTCGCCAAGCACTAGCTAGCACTCCGGGCTGGGGGGGCGGGGAGGGTCTCCGGCGAGCGGGCGGCGGCCGGGCGGGCGGGGCAGCCGGGTGCTGGGTGCCCCCGCGCCGGGCACCCCCCCTCCGCCCCCGCCCGGCCACCCCGCCCAGGCCGCGAGGCCACCTCACTGGCAGCGGAATGGAAACCGGTTCGACAGGTAACAAATAGGTGGGTTGTCACCGTTATTTCCCAACGCATGCGCCGTCGCTCCCCGGGACGCTCCAAGCTAATTAGCTCAGATCACCCCCCCACCCCGCCCCAGCCACCAACACACACCGCCGCGAGCCAATAAAGCGTGAACCCGTCCGTCCGGCTCGCACTTTAAGACTTCCCGAGCAGCCGCGGGGGACGCCAGTCGAGCCGGGAGACGCTTACCTGCCGCTTCCCCCGCCGCGCGGTGCACCTGGCTGCAAGGGCCTCGGCCGGCAGGGAGGGCAGCGACGGCCCCGAGGAGTGGGAGGCGGGCGCGCGCGCCGTCCCGGGCACGGTCTCCCCGCAGAACGTGGGGGGCACTTGGGCGACTCGTTCCCCGAACCGCCCCCTCCCCTCCCCGGCCCCCCGGCTCGGCCCGGGACAGGTGGGACGGCTCCCGGCTGTAGTTGCGGAAGCGGACGGCGCTGGGCGAGGTGGGTTCGAAGATGCCCCGCGCGTTCCTGGTGAAGAAGCCGTGCGTCTCCACGTGCAAGAGGAACTGGAGCGAGCTCCCCGACGAGGAGCGCGGCGAGATCTACGTGCCAGGTGAGGCGCGGCCAGCCGCCCCCCAAGCCTGAGGCGCCCGAGGGGCCGGGGCAGGGGGCCGTCCGGGCGGCGTGCGTGCGGGGCGCAGCGGCGCGGAGCCGGGCGGGCGGGCGCAGCCGGGGCGCCCGATTTAATGTTTAAGCGGCCGCGGCCCCGTTAGCCCGGGGCTCGGGGGGAGGGGAGAGGAGGGGGGAGGGCAGGGCGGCGGCGGAGGCGCCGGCTGGGGGCGGGGGCCGGCGGGAGGGGGCGAGGGCCGTTCCCAGGCCCCACCGCTGGGCCGGGGGCGGACGGGTCCGTGGCGCGCGGGTCCGCGCGGGTCCGCCCTCGTCCTCCCTCCCCTCCACCGGCCGGAGCCGCGGCGCAGGGGAGGCAACGGGGTGTGTCACCGCTCCGGCGACCCTCCACTCTCACGTCGTAAATCTAGAAAGCGGGGACTTTTATGAGGCGGGAGGAGGGCACTGGAGCGATGCCACCTCGGGGGGCAGGGAGCGAGCTGGAGCTTCAGCCGCAATTTGTGCAAAATGTAGGAGAAAACTCGTTTAAGCCGCCTTCCTGGATCTCTCCGTCTTTCCCACACTCCGGTGGCCAGAAGCTCGTGGTGGGGGTCAGGCCGCCAAGGGTTCCCGGCCGCCCGCCCGCGGAGTGCACGGAGACCCGTGGGGACGGTTCCTGGCTGCGCCCCGCTTGTCCTGGGGACCAGGGTGGGATCAGGTCTCACCGCCGTCAGAAACGCGCCTCCTTGCCGAGGACATACTTGCAGAGGACGCAGCTGAGCGGACAGTGCTTTTCATGAACCCAGCCCCCCGCCAGGGGACCGCTGGTGCGCCCAGCCTGTTTTTGGAGGACGCCTTGACAGCGTCCGAGTCGCCTTTGAATGAGTAACCCGAGTTGTTTCTCTCTCCAGTGGCATCTTCCTCTGGAAGGCCTGAGAACACTTTCGTGCCTTCTATCCTCCTCCACCCCCAAGAAAATCTTTGGTCAGGAGAAAGGCAGCTTCCTTCCGAACTCCCCCTCCCCTCGCCTTGCGGGTGGGGGTGGGGCGGGGGCCCGCGCTGCACACCCAGCCCAGCGCCTCCAAGGGAGGTGGAGGTGGGGGGCAGGGGTTGTAATTAACCAACCGACTTTGACCCTTGATCTGAAGGCTCCCTGGCACCGCCCCAGGCCTTGCACGAAAGTGGTGAAATGAGGGCAGTGAGGGGCCCTGTACCAGCTCCTGCCTCAGTTTCTCTCCTAGAATAAACTGGCAGAGACAGTGGGTGTAGTGGTGAGATCTCTGTGACCTGACGGGCCAGGAGCCAATGGCCTGTGACGATGCTGGGATGTTTCTCAGGTTATCTCAAGGGCCTTGGCGCTGCTTCTAGAGCCTCCTTCAAACAAGGAGAAACTGAGGCCAAAACGCAGCTCACCTGAGGTGGATTAGGGTGTGGGCCCAGGATTCTGTGTATATTTTCCTGCCTGACCGAGTTCCTGGCAGGCGGGTTGGCAGTGGTGGGGGGGTTCCCACCTCTAGAAGGGCCGGGAGAGGAACCGAGCCCCCTTCTTCACTCCTGCCTCCTCCCTCACCCGTGTTTGTCTTGCTGCTTAGCTGCGCCTTTGGATCTGATAAACTGAACTTGGACTCTGTTAAAGGTGAGCTGAGCCTTGCGGGAGACTTAGTGTGCTGTTATTTTTAGTTTTATTTCACATCCCAATCAGTAACAGATCATGTGTTGACTTTTACAAAGGACAAAGAAATTCCGTTTGTTCAAATCATTGACTTCCTTGCATCCTGGTGACTTTCCCCACCAGAGTTCTGGTGGCCCTTGTGGGAGTGGTGGGGGGGGGGGGGCTGTCCCTGCAGGGATGGCCAAGGGGGGCTTCCGGGTGGTCTGGGCCACCTGCTGCTGGTGTCCAGGGCAGGGAGCTGTGCAGGCCTCTCTCGAGACAGGATGGGCCCATATGGTTGGGTCCGGGTCTAAACCTGGAGGGCACAGGTGAGCGTTTGCCCTTGTCGTTCTGGGGAGGGTGAATCCTGTGGGGTGAAGCAAAGGGTAGAAGGCAAAGCACTTAATTTAGCTTTTAGAAGCCATGTGGCCCACTGGAGAGTTTTCCCACAGGTTTTGGAAATGAGAAAGGGAATGTTCTCGGGCCACGCTTGGGTGCCTCAGATGGCTGGAGAGGGGGGAGTGTGTTTTGTGGTGGTTTGTCCCCTGGCTGAGCCATTCCATCACTAGCCGACCATGACCCCAGGAGCCGGCTGGGCACGTTTCCTTCACCCCACCTCACAGACACAGCACTTTGTGACCAGCTAAGCATTGACCCTGGTCCCACTGGGAGAGGCCCTGCGGGAGCTGGGGAACAGGGAAGCCTTTGAGGTCTGACCTTCCTGCCAGACCCTCAGAGACCCTTAAGGCATCAGAGAGTCCCTGGGAGGAGACACTTTTACTGGCTGAAGGCTCAGGGCACCGGTGTGACCGGCACTCTAGCCTCTCTCCCTGAGGCACGATTCTAGAAGTTCCCATCCCCAGGGCAGAACCTTTTCTTGGCCTCACTCCCCTTCCAAAGCCAAGGGGAAAAGCCCAGAAGCGGGCACAGAGGGCTGCGAGGTCATAGCGGAAGGGAGGCCGCAGGCTACCTCTCTGGGCCCAAGAGCCCAGCCTGAGCCCTTCACGCCCTGCCCTCCTCTCCCAAGGCGTTTCTCCCTTGTTCTAGCAATAGAACAGGGAGTAATGCTGGCTTCTCGAGAAGGAAGCACCGGTACCCACTAAATTCCATCTCTTGGACTAAAGGGGAAGTCGGGGAAATGGAGATGAAGCCCCGTACTCCAAGCCCTTGCTGAGCCACAGTGGAAAGTCAGGAAGGTGCTTGAAGGCAGATGAGCCTAGGAGCAGCCTGGAAGCCAAAATGCCCTGCTCCCAGATATGGGCATCCCAGGGCCTCTTCTAGGCATCCCTGCATCCCCTTCCTGGCATTGGGGCCTCTGCAGTCTGTCTCCCCAGTTCACCAGCACGCGCTCGCCCCAGGGAGGCAGCCAGGCTGAGGCAGAGGAGATGGGAGGTGCTCAGCCCGGAGCTGGCGAGGCAGGCCAGGAGCCTGGCTGCTCACTGTCCAGGCCGAGGTGGACCGGCTTCTCAGTCCGCTCTGGGCCCCAGAGTACGTGTGTTCGGGTGGGAGGGACTGAGGGCTTAGGGGGAGATCCGGCCTCCAGTGAGGGTCATTCTTCTAATTCCTGGGAAATGCTGGCAGGGAAGGAAACGACTGCTGTCGTCTCCAGGCAGCAAGGCTGGGAGCATAGAAAGCCACCCAGTGAGTGGGGACGGAAGAGCAACTTGGGCCTGGGCAGTGGCCTAGATGGGGCTCTTGCCTGTCCCGTGGGGCGCTGTCCCATATGCCGCCAAGCTGTTTGCTCCCGGCTGGGGTGACCCAAGACAGACTCCTGCCAGACCGTTTGTCCCAGAAAGAAAGCAGGTGAGGGTAAGTCCTCTGGGCACAGGGAAGACTAGAGCGAGGGTGGCCATTGTTGATGGTCACTTGCAACACGTTCGGAGTCCCACAGAGGTGCCCGTCCCCGTGCTGGCTGGAAGAGTGGGGTGGGGGGCGGCAAAGGGAGGCACAGTCGGCAGCTGGTCAGGGCTGCCCACCCTGGCACAAGGGCCGAGGTGCCCAGCGCTGAGGGGCCCGGTGTCAACTCTGAAAGGCAATTGGGAAAGGGGAAAAAGAGATTGCCTGCGAGAGACACTTGGCATTCACAGGATGGAAGCCACAGGCCCGTTGTTTCCAGGGCTGCCCATCTCTACCAGTTGGCTGGCCCTCACTGCCTTTCCGGCACTGCTACCTGACCTGCAGGGGCGGGGGGAGAGGGGCATGGGGAACCCTTGCCTCTCCTGATAAGGGGGCAAGGCCATCTCACACCAGCGTGGGTCTTGCTGATACATGGTCCCTCCCGATTCGGAGCTGAGTCACAACCCACCCCCCCACGCTCCGCCCACCAGGTCAACCCCAGGCCCCCCCAACCCCCCTCCCTGGTCAGGGGTCAGGCATCCTCACATGTGCCTCATCTGCTCTCCTTAGAGAGCAGCCCTGACCGGAGGCTTGGCGTGGGGTAGGACCTGGCCCTCTGGCCAGCGTGTGGCCAGCAGCATGCAGTCTGGGGTGGGGACAGGCTTGAGAGAGGGGACTTGCTGAGGACGAGGAGTTGGGGAGCTGGCCCTTGGCTGGAAAGCTGCCTCGGGTCCCCTGGGCCCTCCATGTCATCCCACAGAGGTGAGCGGGGCCAACAGAAGGGGAGCCCATGAGCCCCTGCGAGAGTGAGTAGGGAGATGGCCCAGCTGGTCTGGCCCTGCCGCACTCCGCAGCTGTGGGCGGGCGATGTGTCGCCACAGCCGCCTTGCCGGAAACATCTAATTAGGGGACAGAGAGCAGCACCAGCAGGGCCCGCCCAGTTCTACTTCCTGCCTCCTGCCTCCAGGTGCCACCCAGTGACACCCAGGGACAGGAGCGGCACGCCGATGAGCACTCCGTGTGCGTGCTGCGGCGGCGGCAGGGTGTGCTCCCAGGGGTGGCGGGAGGACAGGTTTGGCAGGCGGGGCCGAGGCAAACATCCCCACCCTGGCACCCTGTGGCGGCCGTCCAGCCCCCGCTGCCCCTGGTTCGGGCGAGGGGTGGGGGTACACCACCACCAGAGCCAGGGGGAGCCCAGAGTGACCGCTCGTTCTGAGCACAGACGGGTAAGCCCTCACCTGCTGTCACTCCTCCCTCTGCCGCTGCCTGGGCAGGCGATGTGGCTGGGCTCCCACTTCCAGGAGCTTCGCTCAGGCTTTCCGATACTGAAAGACAGAAGGGGGTAGAGCTTCCTGTGGGTCTCTACCTGGATTGAGAAATGGAAATTGTCATTCAGCTTTGAATTCTCGGCCAAGATCTCTCTCCAGTGGCCGGTAAAGCGGCCTCAGAAGCCGCCAGCACTCTGACAGCCCCCACCCGGTGTGCAGACCGCCGTCACTTGTGGGGAGGCCGGAGGGACCCCGAGAGCTTGCCCCCCCACCTCCCAGCACCCCCCACCCCCCACCAGCCTCCCAGGGTTCCGAGGGAGGCGCCATGCCAGCTCAGAGGCCGGGCCTGGGCCAGGCACTGGTGAATCAACACCCGGAATGAGGTGGCTCATTAAAGTCCCCCGGACAGACGGACGCCAGTGCCAGCAGAACGGGTTCTGGGCGGCAGGCAGGCGCATTCTTCCCTTGTCAGACCTTTGTTGTGTTTTGAGGGGGCGAGAGCCAGGGCCTCTCCCGAAACTTCTTCGGTGCTTTCATATTCACCCTTCCTGCATTAGTAGCTCCTGGGCCTTCCTTGTCTTCTACCTCCAGCGCCCCCGTCCGGGGGCCGCCCCTCCCTGGGTCCCCGGCCTCTCTGTCTCAGTAGCTCCTGGGCCGGGGGTGCACTGGGCCTTGTCCGCCGGCCTGAGACCTACACTGGGTCTCCGAAGTCCATCTCCTGGAAGCACCCTCATCCTTCCCTTCCTATGCCCCTCTTGATTTATCCTTTCGAAGCTTGGAAAATGTTCCTGGCTTATGGCGTTTAAGGACAGCGGATCCTCGCACACGGCGAGCTGCTCAGACGTCGGGTCCTTTCCATAAATACAGCACAGGGCTGGGAATGTATTTTTTCTTTCTTAGGATTTTCTTCGTAACATTTTTCTTCTCCAGCTTACCTTATCCTTATGACACATAGAACATGCAAAACGTGTGTTCCACTACTGTTTCTGTTCTCGATAAGGCTTCTGGGCAGTTAACGTTCTGGGACAGCCAGAAGTTACATTAGGATTTTTGATGGTGGGGGTGGGACTCTGTGCCCCTAAGCCCTGCCCAGTTAAAGGGTCAAGTGTATAGAGTTTAGCCTTTCGGGGAAGAAAAAGACTGATACATTAAAACATTAGCTAGTTTGGCCCATCTTTGGTCCCCTCTGTGTCGCTCAGGCAGCGCGTCCTCCTCCCTGCTCCACCACGGGGACCAAGCCTCTCTGGCCCCGTTCAGTGTGAGCTGTCCCTGGCAGGGAGCGGCCGCCACCGAGGGCTGCCAGGTATCGGTGCCTTGGAGGGCGGAGGCTGGGAGCCCAGCCCTCGGTGTGCCATGGCGAGCAAGCGGTCCCCGCTGTGGGGCAGGCTTGCATAAGAGCTGGGCACGGCGCCCAGGAGACCGTTCCGCGGCATCCACCTGCTGCCGTCTGACCTCCTCCCTGCTCCACCTCACCTGGCCTGTTTGCCTACCACACTTGGCCAGCGGGAGTGGTGAGCCTAGAGCCCCACAGAGCTGCAGCAGCAGACACCAGCCAGCCCCGAGGACCACCCGCTCCCCGCAGGCCAGCCGCTAAATCGGCCTGTAGAAGCAGCCCAGGTCCGCCCAGGCCAGGGGCCAGGGATGAATCCCAGGACCCAGGGCCTCCAGTGGTGCCCTCTTGTCCACGCAGGAGCACGGATGAGACCTGGAATCCAGAGGGACTGGCCCAGGTGGGCCAGGCGGACAGCTCTGGAGGGATAATTGGCGGGGCAGGTTCTGTCCTCCCAGTTCCGCTAAGACACAAATTACTCAGCAGGCAGGCCTGTGGGCTGTGGTGCTTGGCGGGTGTCCCCTGTAATTACCTTAATGGGGCAGGAGGGAGGGGCAGCAAGCACGGGCTGGGGACAGCCTGCCCTGCCAAGGTGGAGGCTCCCGGGCCCAGCCCGCCCACTGCCCAGCAGCTGTCCGGAGAGACCCCTGGATCCTGTTCTCCCTGCCAGCCCCCTCACCTGGCTGTTCTTCTCTCTGCAGTCAGTCTGGGCTTTTGCCCCCCACAGCCCTACCGGGAGCCAGAGCCATCGGTGGCTGAGCCCCCGTCTTGCCCCCTGGTTTTGGACATGAGCCTTCGGGACTCCGGCTATGGTGTGGCCCCAGGGCCCTGCGTGGTGGCCCAGCTGCCCTCCGAAGACACGAGTCATTTGGCAGAGCGCCAGAGCAGAGACCACGGCTTTCTGCGCACCAAAATGAAGGTACCGAGCCTCAGACTGTCTCTGAGGGCCAGGAACGTGTCTATAGACCTGTGTCTGGCCCACCAGACCGGGTACGGTGAGACCCAGGCAGAGGCTGGCCTTGGATCTGGGCCCGGGTTTCTGCCAAGAAGCGGACCCAGCAGGGCACAGGTTGGGGCGGAAAAGAAGAAAAGTAGGTCTAAAGCGACAGTGTCATACTTTGGGAAGAAGCGGCAGGGCCTCAGAGACATTTCACCCTTGGGAGTCTGTGCTAGGAGTTGCTTCGGTTTATTTCTGGCCTTAAAGGGAGCCACCTCTTTGCAAGCCCTAGGAAAAGGTGGGGACAGGAGCCCGGCTCCGCCCCTTCTCCTGGCTTCCCCTCCGTGCTGTGCTGCTCCCAGAGTGAGCTCTGGAGTCCACCTTGTGGTTCACTGTCCCTTGAGGCAGGTGCCCTGCGGTTCCCCCTCCCCCAAGTGTGCCACTTTTGTCCCCTTTGGCCTCTGAGGCCTCGCATCGAGGGCAAGGCCAGGGGAGCCGCCGCTGCACTCAGCCTCAGCAGTGGGAACCGTAAGGAGGGTAGGAGGCAGCAGAAATGCCCCCTCTTTCGAGGAGCACGCAGCCAGTGAGGCTGTCCCTGGCCAGGCCCGAGTTCCTGAAAGGTCTAGGCTCTCAAAGCACCTGCCAGCAGCGATCTAGTGGAAGGGTTCTTGTAGCCCTGTTCTCTGTGCCAAAGCACTGAAGAAAGCTGGCAGCAGAAGGCCCTTCCTTCTTCTCTTCCCCGTGTAGGCCAAGTGCCTGTTGTAACTAGAGGGAAACCACCCAGACACAGGCTGGTCAGGTGGCCAGGGAGCCAGCACAGTGGCCCTGAGCCCCTGTGGGCCTTCCTGTCATCCCCTGGACCCTGGTTGGTAGGAAGGGCATGGAGAGAGGGCAGAGGGCACAGGATGGCAGGTGCACCCGAGGAGTGGGTCTTGACCTGAAAGGTCTTGGCTGGTCGGCAACAGAGGGCCTTTCCCTGGGGCCTGAAGCGGTAGAGGAGGAGCTGATGGGTGGGACGGGGTGGCAGGAGGAGGGGTCAGCAACAGGGCCGCCCACAGAGCACAAGCAGCCTCTGGACGGTAATGGACATGGAGGATGGAGACCACGTTTCCCTGTGCAGGCCACGCGGCCGGAAAGGCACGGCTGTCACTCGGAGCTGCATCCTCTCTGAGGGGCAGAGGGTGGCCAGGATTTGCTTCCAAATGATCCCGGGCCAGGGGCTAGGTTGGGATGGAAGGATAAAACAAGACCAGCCCTAAATGCTAAATGATGGTCACTGTAGTCATGGTGCTCATCTCCGTATCTGACAAGATCTGAGATTTTCCGTAGTGACAAAAGAAACGAAGAAGGTGTTAAGTAAGAGGGTCGTGAGGATGGCAAGGCGCCTCCCCTCACACCGCGACGGGCCTGGCTCGGTACAAGCAGGGGGCTGGGATCCAGGCTCTGAGCGGCGGCCCCAGAGGCCGCATCCTGGTCGTCCTTGGTCCCACCTCAGAGGAGGCGAACAGAGGGCACAGGTGCAGAACAGCAGCTTTGAGCCCCGCGGCAGGAGCCTTCCTGACAGGCGGTGGTGACCGGCCGTTCGCACAGGGAGCCTGTTGCAGGTTCTAGAGAAGGCACAGGGGCTGGGCGGCCGGGGGTTTGGGAAGCCAGCAGCAGCCCGACCACGGACCCAAAAGCTCCTTCCGGCCCCTCCCGCGCTGATCTGTGAGCCAGGGGCACAGGGGTGCAGCCTCTGGAGGGCGAGCTCGGCGGTCCCCGGGACCATGGCATGCCCCCACGCAGCCCGCGCTCCCGGACGGCTGTCGCGAACCCCATCCTCGCCCACAGGTGACCCTGGGGGACAGTCCCAGTGGAGACCTCTTCACCTGCCACATCTGCCAGAAGGCCTTCACCTACCAGCGCATGCTGAACCGCCACATGAAGTGCCACAACGACGTCAAGAGGCACCTGTGCACCTACTGCGGGAAAGGCTTCAACGACACGTTCGACCTGAAGAGGCACGTCCGCACCCACACCGGTGAGAAGAGCCCCTGGGAGTCCCTGCCCGGCGGGGGAGGGGAGATCCACGGCCTGGGAGAGGGCGTCTTGGAACTTAGGGCAGAAGCCCCCAGTAGCTCATGGGTTCGGTCCCTCAGGGAGCTGGAGACGGGGCCGGCCTCCTCCGCTCCTCCCACCCAGAGTCAGGTGGCCTGGCCTTTCTATGTCAGGGAAGTGGCCCACGGGCTTGCCGTCAGCTCCCTGACCCCCACGCGCTCCTCCCCGCAGGTGTGCGGCCCTACAAATGCAGCCTGTGTGACAAGGCCTTCACGCAGCGCTGCTCGCTGGAGTCCCATCTTAAGAAGATCCACGGTGTGCAGCAGAAGTACGCGTACAAGGAGCGGCGGGCCAAGCTGTACGTGTGTGAGGAGTGCGGCTGCACGTCCGAGAGCCAGGAGGGCCACGTCCTGCACCTGAAGGAGCACCACCCCGACAGCCCGCTGCTGCGCAAGACCTCCAAGAAGGTGGCCGTAGCCCTGCAGAACACAGTCACCTCCCTGCTCCAGAGCAACCACCACCTCTGAGCGGCCCCGCCCGGCCTGGGTCGCCTGCCCGCTGCCCGGCGGTGACCGGGCCTAGAGCCCCCTGCGGCTCACATGTCCGCTCAGGCCTGGCGCTGAGCTCTGCTCACGTTTGCCTTTTTGTCTGAGGGGCAGAGGCCACTCTGAGCCCGGACCAACGTGGGCAAGGCCCAGGGTGCCTTCCCCGTGAAGCAGCCCACCTACAGTGAGAAGACTTCCTTCCCAGAGGACGGATGGGGATGCTTGGTGGCCATGCTCCTCCGGAGCGCGGAGCATGGGAACAGGGCCGCAGCTCCCCCCAGGGCAGCGGAGGGAAGAGCAGGGGCGGAGAGCAGCTGGGCAAAGCAAGGTGCTGGGGGAGCTGGCGCCCGCCTGCCCTGCAGTGTGCCTAAGGCTCAGGGCCATGGGGGCCTTGGCCCTTCCCTCAGGGTGGTGCATACACTGTGCACAGCCGCGGACGCTCCTGCACACACAGGAGGCCTTTCCACACATCACCTCATTTTTAGGAAACTGACAACAAGGTGCCAAGGAAGTTTTATTTCCTTTTTTTTTTTGACACATGTACAGATATTAATATATTTTTGGTGCCGATGGTGGCTATTTTTAAGAGAGGATAGAGCTGGCTTTGTTCCCTCTCCATGCAGTTCTATTTATCCTGGACATTTCATACCTCCTCTGTGCCTTGGCTCTGGGGGCAGGTGGGGGGGCTGCCCTAAGCCACCCCCACCCCTGTACCTCCCGAGATATCTCACCAAAGACCTTCCTCCAGTCCTGCCTGGGGGCTGCCCATCTGCTGGGGTAACGCACTGCATTGGCTACTCCCCCTCCCCCGGGGGGCTCTGCCTCCCTCCTACATCCTTTCAAGGCCTGCCTGGGGCTTACCAAGAGCCTGTTTGCCTCCTAAAAATGGACCTTTTGTGAACAACTCACCGTTGTGGAGGCCAAGAGTTTATCCAGCAGCAGCTGTAGCAGAAAGGCCTGTGGGGTGATGAGTCCTTGATCCACAGAGTCCACCGTCTGGGACAGAGAAAAGAAAAGGAGCAGGCTGCAAGGCCTGCCCTTTCCTGGGTTGAGTGAACAAACCTAGGGCAGCAGCGAAAAATTGGGACCCATCAGAGGCCCCTCGGGAGGGCAGCATTAGAGGGCTGACGAGTTATATTTGAGGCCTTCATTTCTGACTTTTTCACACGGCTGGGTTATGAGCACATGAGGAACAAGCCATCCCAGAGCTGGTTGGCTCGACTGGAGGAAATTGGCCACCAGGCTCTAATGGTGTGGCTGGGTTTCCTGCTAAAAAACAGGAAAAGGGGTGTGGGTCAAAAAGGAGAGAGGGGCAGGGCCGGAGCCAGCCTGCCGAAGAAGGAGAAGGCAAACTGGAAAGAGGTCCAAAGAGTGCAGTGGGCTGGGCCGGCCGAGCCCCTGGGCAGAACCAGCCCCAGACCGAGGGAAAGGTGCTTCCTCTGACCGCCCTCTGACTGTGTATATTGTTCTGGAAGACTCCTGTTTTATTTTACTTTAGAGTGTCTGGGAGCTGCTGTATTCTGGAAGTTATATAGTATAAAATAACCCTATCTGGAAGCTCTGTTTCGTTTACATTTCTGTAGCCCTGTGTTATTGCAATCGGAGGGAGCCCTAACGCTCTGTGTTGTCTGTTTTATTTTATAACTTCCCCCCAACTATTAAAATCAAAGAATTATCGTTTTATGTGTTTCTCCTTTTTTGTCTTATAGACCTCTTTTTCCACCCGCAGGGAAATCAATCAAAACGGTTGTTGCATTCTAGGCAAAGCTTTCCCCTTTTACGGTTACCAGTGAGCCTCAAGTCAAGCCGAGACTCTGACCTGCACGGATGGAGTGGCCTGCCCCTGGTCTCAGCACTCAGAGCCTGCCGACTGATCCCTGGGCCACTTGCCCCACCTGCCCTGTGCTCCTGCGTCCTGACGTTGGCCCTCCGCCAGGCCAGCATAGTCACTCGTAGTCCAGTTTCCACTTCCCTTCCTAGCACCTGCCAGGACCACAGAAGGAAGACAGTGATCCCAAATGACAGGGCACAAAGGTCACATCACTTCCCGGTCGGGCACCTAGTATCGGGCCAGCTACATCCGCACAGCTCGTGTTCTGTGCCGGGTGCCTTGCGTTTCACCCACATTGGCTCACTTGATCTTTTGGCCACTGCCCGGAAGACACTGCCATTCCCGCCGTGAGAAGTTGGGTAGTGGGCCTGGGTCTCACCATGAGCTCTGCCGCCACGACACCAGCGTGCAGCCCATCCCTCCGGGCAATTCAAACCAGGCAGGAATTTAGAGATTAACTGGCCTTCCCCATCACCTACCTAGGGTCACCTGGGGAGACCTGATCACTCTGGGGATTCAGTTCTGTGTTCTTCCATCATGTCCCCCCTGCTAGATGAACAACCAAGGAGGAGGGCGGCTGCCGGTCCTGGGCCTTCGATGTGATCTTCTAGGAGGTGTGAAGAGGGTTCATGTCCTGGTGCTGTGAAGAGAAAGGAAAACATGGCTCTGACCTTTAAGGCTCCCTGTAAGAAGCCCAGAGGACTGCCAAGGGCCCCCAACCCTCCTTATGTCTTTCAGTAGCCAGAGGATCTTTATCACAAGAAGCCTCCCAGTGTGAAAGGCCAACCAAACCCCATTTTGATCTGTCCCGAGATGAGCCGAACCCATTGTTGGGAACCCAGATGATGCACCGCTAGGCCAACCTCAGGAGGAGCTGGGAGCCAGGCCTAAGCTTCTAGGAAGCCAGGGGTGGGGGTGGGAAATGTTCCTGGGGCTCCCCGTGAGCTGCTACTTTCTCTCCCACTCCTTAGAACTCCCGCGTGGGACACGGCTCCGAGGAGCCCTTCTTGTGGCATCAGGCCAGAGGGTCCCATTACAAGGCCCATCATGCTCTCCAGACCCGGTAGCGTGGGTGCCACGGGAGAAAAAGGACAAGCACGGGGTGGAGGGTGCGCTTCTGCTGACTGGTAGATGGGCCCCAGCCAGGTGGGGAGAAGAGAGGAATGGGGGTCAACATACAACCAAGGGCACAGGTGTCCCAGACTACAAATGCTGTGGGACCCCACAAGGAGTCTGTTGCATCTGAAAGAGTAAAGACTTCTTGGAAGAAGTGGAGGCCCAGCTGGGCTGGAAAAACAGGGGATCTGAACAGAACCGAAGAAAGGGGAAGGTGTTTTGGGTGGGGGCAGGGGGTGTGGGGAAGAGCGGGATGAAGCTCAGAAGGGAAGAGTTGTGGGCAGAGGGTCTCACTCTGTCCATCAGAATTCTGGCTGCTTGCCTCCTTCATTCAGCGCAACGGAGGCATTTTTGGAACCCCGCCCAGGTGCGGGGCAGAGCTGATAAGACCAGGGTCTGGTAGGAGAGCCGGCTGGGGGCCTAGCAAGACCGAGTCACTGAGGATAAAAGCAGAATCTTATACTTACAGCCGAAAGCAAAGCAAACACACGTGGGGAGCGAGCAAGTGCTTGTTTATATCTTATATTTTTACATATTTTCTAATTTTTTTTTTACAATAAGCATATATTATTTCTACAACCAGAAGAAAATAAAGTTGTGAAACAATTTAGGGGGCTTAGCTGACACAGAGTTCAACACATCAATGGGGAGACGGGGTGGCCCGCCTCCCCAAAAGCCAAGGTGATCTTGGGCAACATTAGGAGTGTGGCGTCAGCAACCGGCGTCGCCTCCCTGCAGTCAGGGCTGGTCACCGGGCCGTGGGTTTGAGGCCCAGTCCTGTCTCGTGGTGTCTGTGGGGCCTTGTGCAAGTGACCTAACCTCCCAGTCTCTTCATCTATAAAATGATCTGGGTTCCTGAGTCTGAAAGTCCCTTTCCCATATAAAGACTTTATGTCTCTAGGCTCCCATCTTGAGAAAACCTTTGAAGAAACTCACGGACAGCGTGTGGTGGAGATGTGTTGGGTAGGTGGCGAGGACCAGCTAAGCGGCAGCTGGCTTGAAGCGGAGGGCAAGGCTTACCCCCGGGGGGTTCCAGTGTTGAACCAGCGGCGAGAAGGGAGGATTAGAACGGGCAGAGCGAAATGCAGGGATTGGAAGACTTCCAAGTCCCGTCATGGCTCACCCAGGGGGTGACTGCATAGGGTATGGGGGGAATGGAAGGGAGCCCCCCGCACTGTTACTGGAGGGCTGGGGCTGGGAAGCCACTTGTTAGCAATTTCTTTCTTTCTTTCTTTCTTTCTTTCTTTCTTTCTTTCTTTCTTTCTTTCTTTCTTTTTCTTCTTCTTCTTCTTCTTCTTCTTCTTCTTCTTCTTCTTCTTCTTTTTGTTTTAAAGATTTTATTTATTTGACAGAGAGATCACAAGTAGGCAGAGCAGCAGGCGGGGCAGGGGGCTGAGGCTGGGGGCAGCGGGGGAAGCCGGCTCCCTGCTGAGCAGAGAGCCTGACGTGGGGCTCGATCCCAGGACCCTGAGATCATGACCTGAGCCGAAGGCAGAGGCTGTAACCCACTGAGCCCCCCAGGCGGCCCTCGTTAGCGATCTCTAACAGGACTCTGCCATGGGACTGAAGGCTGGACGAAACAATCTTCAAGACTCTTTCTACCCGCAGAATTTGAAAAGGCCAGGCCGAAGTGCAGCGGTCATGACTTCCAGGCCTGTGTACCATTCCCAAGAAGGCAGAGCCGGGTGAAATGCTGGTGAACAGAAAGGAAGAGGAAAGACAACACTGGAATGAGACCAGTTGGGTGGCTGTCTCATACGCTGGGCTTGAGGGGACGGAGACCTGGACTGGCTGGGGGAAGCAGACCCCTTCTCACGGCCTCTGGCCCTGGCCTGTCCCCTAGAACCACCCAGAACCAGGCCACTCCCTGGGAAGGTGGGAGCCACCTGGACACAGGGTATCCTACCCTCTTTGTGTCCAAGACCAACGTGCCTTCTTTGCTCCTCATGCCGGCCCCCCTTCCCAGGTTTCTAGAATCTGTTTTGATATTGCAAACCCCACCACCCAGGCTCACGCCTCCCAGCTTTTTTTTTAGTTCCTGTAGCCAATCAGTCAGCTCCCCTCAATGCTCCCTCTGAGCCTGCCCTTCTCTCCTGGCAGCTCTCCCCCTAGGGGCCCAGCTCCATGGCAAGACGGGCTCAGACCATGCAGATTCTGGTCCCCCGCCACGGCGGAGCATTGAGAATTAGATCTGCCAGGTTCTGTTTCCTGAATATGAGAGCTGGGTATCAGGTGACTGATTTCCTCTGTTTCTCACTTATTCTCTCTACATCAACTGGGCGGGGACTTCTACCCTGGTCCATCTTTCAAAATAGAGTAACACACAAATCCGGGGTCTCACAACACGCTCCGAGGAAGCGGGCACCAGCCACACGGTGTGACCTGCCCCGATCAGATCACAAACAGGGCCACCACCGGCCCTTAGACTTCTCCTCTGACTTCAGGCTCAAGGGGCTGCCACCCCCACCCCCACGAAGAAACCCGGGCAAGTGAGTGTCACAGGGTGGGCTGCTCAGTGTCCCCACTGCCAGGCCACACTGCCCATTGGCATCAACAGCAGCCTCCTCTTTCCTGAGAGCCGAGGGA